GGTGGAAAAAAAAAGGGGGGGGGGGGTGGTGGAGGTTTTTAAAAAGATCTGTTCTAAGGAAGAATAGTCACAGTTGTTTTTATCCAACGTAGATCTAAAAGTAAACTTTGACACCGTTGGAATTAACTTGATTTTGGAGTACAACACTGGAGACTGATTGTGTTAACATGTTAAAACAGTATTTCATATCAGTTGTAGATAGCACTTATAGCAGCGACGAGGAACGCTATGAGACGACCAGAGCTTGTACATGTGGGTCCTTTTACGGCCCCATCGATACAAATTACATCATTTAGGAGTTCGGCTTCGACCCTGCTGGTCTATCAGGATCATTGTGGCGTCGGTAGGCTAGTGGTTAGGCTCTCAGACTCGCAACTGTAAGGTTGTGGGTTCGATTCTCGTTTGGGTCTCGACGTTGTGTCCTTGGGAAAGGCACTTTACACGAATTTCCTCACTTGACCAAGGTGGAAATGGGTACCCAGCTATAGAAAGTGAAACATCTTGTTAGTTCGTTAGTGATTGAATGCTTAACCAGTTGCTTGCACTGTATGCTTCCTGGGAAGCTGAGAATATTATTTTCTGAGTTTTCTATGGTTTGCTGGGGGTAATGATAGAGAATAAAGTGCCTAGAGTTTGCTTTCTAGTGGGGATATGCGATATACAAATACTATTATTATGTTATTATTATCGTGGGCTGAGATGGAAACAACATCGTAGTCTAACAGAAAGACTGAGATACTCGATATATGCGCCTGGGAATCGAACATGGGCCTCTTACGAGCGACAGTGAGGGATCTAACTGTTACAGAACAGACTTCGGTAGACCAGGTCTAAAATTAGAACTTAAACAAACTCTGATGTTTGAACTCCGATTTTGTATTATTGTTGTACTTGATGATTCTTTGCTTTCAAAATTCAATGAAAACAACACCACAAACACGAGCTGATCACCGTTTTTGTTAGTTTTGCAATTTCTAGTGTAACCCTCGTTTTTGACTTTTATAAGTCTAGTGTTTGTCACAGCTGTCAAGAGCGTTAAAGGTTTTCATGAGAAAACTAATAATAAAATGCACTTTATGTTCATGTTTCAGTTATATTTTGTGCATCATGTACTAGCACTTAATCCAGTTTGTGCATTAATGATTCCGGTTATGTATTGTTTCAACTGCACAGTGACCAGCCAAATAACGAAAACACGGGAAAAACATTCATGGGTTCATTTGAACTCCAACAGCGTAAAGCCTAATCTGCGCTATCTTGTACTTACTTGACAAACAAATTTAGTTAAAGTCACAAACATGTTGTAGATAATATCGGTGGTCTGACTTTCAAAGTGATTTACTGCAAAATCGTGAAAACGAAAAGCATTATAAGTAAGATAGCGCTGAGCTTGCATCTTTCCTGCTTTCACCTATTGTAAGATGGGTGGTTGGCGGGTGCTCTCGTGTTGTTTGCTCCTTCTTTCATATCAAACACCTACCAGCTTATCTCCCATCCTTTAACGGTATGCCTTCTCTCTCTCTTCCTCTCTCTCTCTCCC